ATTATTTATAATAATAATAATAATAATAATAATAATAATAATAATAATAATAAAGTAAAAACGAGAGAAAAAAAAAAAAAGTAAGAGTAACAAAATATAGGACAAGGAAATCCTATAGATATAAATTTTTTTTTTCCAATTTTAAAGGAAAATAATTTTATAGGAAAAGTTTACTTAAAATTTTTCCGTTTAGGAAAATTAAACCCTTTCGAATAATCGAGAGAAAAATAATAATAATAATAATAATAATAGTTTTTAATTATAAAAAATCAGCAAAAAAAAAAAAAAAAAGAAAAATTTTTTGTTATATTGATAAATCATCAATTAATATGGTTGCATAATAACCATAAGACAGGTTTTTATTATAGACCAAGGAGAACGTTTCATTATAATCATGTAAAAGTAATAATAATAATAATAATAATAATAATGATTTTTATTACCGTTTTTTTAAATTAAGTAACAGTTAAACCATCAACTTTTTTTTTTTTTTTTTTTACTCTTTTCGAAAATTGTTGAACTGGATTTACATACCACGAATCCTTAACCTTCGAACAACTTTTTCTCTTTTTGGCTTTGAACTTTCTTTCATCTTCTTCTTCTTCTTCTTTTTCTTTTTCATAATTAACGAATTTGATTGGTTAATTTATGTTTATTTGATTTTCTCCATGACGCCATTTTAGTTTTTATACTAAAAAACAAATCAATCAAATCAAACTGAGAATTCATAAATTATTGAAAATTTAATTAAAACTTTCGTGGGGAGGTAAATGGGGGGAGGGATAAAATAGGGAAGATAATTTTTTTTTAAAAGTTTATGCGTATTTATATAAATATATATGAAAACGTGTCGAGACAGGATAATATTTTTGAAAACATTTCGATGGAAAATATTTTAATGAAATTTTAAAACCTTCCCCGAAGTCTTGTCAAAAAAACAATTTTTAAAACTTCAATTATTTTGGGTCTTTTTCAAGGTTTTTATATGGATTCTAAGTAGTAAATATGCCCTGGGAAATTAGTTTAAGGTTTTCTTTTTCCAACGATTTTTTTTAAAAACCGCGAACTAGATTTGCCGCCTTAATTTTTCCGCGACGATTAAAGCGTGCACACGTGTCGTGCAAACTGCATACCTAAAAATTTGTTAATTTGTTATTGCAGGATTTGATACGAGACTCGGGTACGGATTCAGGTTGGGTCCGCATGCGGATTTTCAAACTCTCGTCGAAATAGGACCGCAATTAAACACGAATCCAATTTCCACAAATGGAACCGTTGCAAAAAGGCAATCGTTGGGAATGAATCGTCTTCAACGTTTGTACCTCGAAGCACAAAAAAAAGCAGGGAGAAAAGTTAAGAGCAACGTTGAAAAAAAAGATGCGGGAAAAATGAAAAAACCGTCGAAACCAACAGAAAGCGAACGAATTGAATTTCCCAACAAAGTCCTTCAAACGGACGGGATCGGGGATAAAAAATCCACGGAAATTCCCACGAAACAAGTTAAAAGCACAACCGAATCCACACCGACGAGATTTTCTTTACTCCAACTTAAATAATTGGGGGGAAAAACAAATTTTCATCATAAAAATATTACAAATCATCTGAATCGATCACTCTTACAATATTTAATCAATCATTCAATCACATCAATTCAAAAATTCTCGTTAAATTATTTAATTAAAAAAAAAATTATACTCACCCCATCAATTTATTTTTTATACGTCAATAAATTGCAATTTCTTTTTTTTTTATCCATTGTTTTTTATATTCAAATGTGCGTTCAGAACGTTTTTAATTTTTCAACTTGATTGAACAAATCTAAAAAAAAAAAAAAAAATTAAAAATTAATGTTCTACTATATAAATATTTATTATAAATACTCAATGATAATAATAATTAATTTTAAAAAAAGTTACCGAGTCATAATAAAAATTTACAATAAAAATTTATTTAAAAGAATTTTTTAAACAAATAATTAGGGTTTTTAATTACAAGTTTTTTTTTCGTTCAATAAAAATATATTTATTGTAATTTTATTACTATTATTATTATTATATTCGATTGTTGTAAACACTTAATACTCGTATAATTAATTTTTTAAAATTATATTTCGGTTGAATTTTATTATAACTCAAACATAAATTTCATTAGTATGTGTAATAAAAACTAAAAGAAATAAAATTTACTTTTTTTGACATCGGGGACTCAGATTAAGGCTGCAAGATTTTGTTATTTCATTAAAAGATGAACTTCCTGGACAAGACAGTACGAAAATTTTCCCGGCGTTATTGCATCGGAAATATGTTTTGCAATCATCAGGATTTGGAAAAACTCCAGCTCCAGGACACGTAAACGGTTTTGCGGTCGTTGTTGTTGTAGTTGTAGTGGGAGTAGATGCAGTTGTAGTTGTAGGTGTGGAATTCGGTTTAGGTGTTGTCATTTCAGATAAACCTTTACCAACAGTTGTTGGAACATTTTTTGGCGTGGTTGTTGTTGTTGTTGTTGTGAAGGCTTTTTTTGTTGTTGTTGATATTTGTTCTTGACAAGAAGGACTAACGGTCAAACTGCATTTTAATATATTTTCGTTAAAAAACGATTTTCCGGGGCATACATAAGTAAATTTTTTCAATGACGATGAACACCGGAAATAGTTTTTACAATTGGTAGGATCCGGAAATATTCCTGGAGAAGTACAGGCAAAGGGTTGTGTTGTTGTTTGACTAGGTTCTGTTGTAGTGAATACGGTAGTTGGAACAGTAGTGGACGAAGATTCAGTTGTAACAATAGTGGATGGAGGTTCAGCTGTAACAGTATTAGACGGAGGTTCAGTTGTGGAAAATTCTGTAGTGCTAGGAATACTAGATTGAGGTCCAACAGTAGTCGGAACTGAAGTAAAAGGTTCAGCAGTACTCAGAGGTGTGGAAGATTCAACATTGTTAGAAACTGCAGTTGATGACTCTGTCAAAGTGGTCGAGACATCAGTAGAAGCAGATAAAGTAGAAGAAGGTTGATCTGAACTTGTCGTTAATTCTCCTGCAGTGGAACTTTCAGAAATTGTAGTACCTTCAGTTTCGGTTAAAGCAGTTGATACACATTGCGATGTTGACTTATCAAAATATTCATCTTTCGAACAAGAAAATGGCAATTTTATAAACCCTGAATTTGAATCATCTAAACATACGTAAAATTTTGTTTCAGAAGTGCTATCTGGAAACACACCCACTTCTGTACAATCATCCACAGCTTTTAATGCATAATTGGCATAGAAATTTAATAACCACTTGCACTGTTCCAGCAAAGGATCATCCTTACAGTCTTTTTCTGTAATAAAAAAAAATTTTTCCTTTGAAATAATATCAATCATTGATTTATTGATTATTAATATGACATTAATATAAAAATATTACCATTGTCGCATGTTACAAATGTATCTTCTGTACTTCCTTCATAACATTTTTGATATTGAGTGCAGTTAATACATTTTGCTTCTTCGAAATCACAATCAGAAAATGAATTGCATCTCGACAAAACCTAAAATTAAATTTTATAATTTTCATAACCATGATAACAATCAATTTTTAAATAAAAAAAATTTTCAAAAATTACCAATAAAAAAATAAAAATATTATTCTGATTTAATAAATTTTTTAACAACATCATTCCTTACTTTTTTTCATTAAATTAATAATCAAATCTTTTGATTCCTTCCCATATATATATATATATATATACATACATAAAATTCATTGTTATCACTTTTTTTTTTTTTTTGGGGGGATTCAGGTAAATAAATAAAAAAATATTTGCTTATGAATTATTAAGAACATGGGGTATTAAATAAGAACTTTATATTTTTCAAACAATAAAAAAAAAAGAGTTTAAAAGAGATAATCTTGGAATAATTTTAATGTAACTACAATGAAATGCAGTTTTTTTACCCTATTTTTTCAAATTAATCTTTTTTTATTAAATTATTTAAAATGATAAAACGTTGAAATATTATAAAACAATTCAATTTTTTTTTTGTTTCCCTGTAAAAAAAAAAAAAATTATCAAGGCAAACATTATTGTGGTATTAACTTTAATACCACAGTAAAATTAAATTACATTTCTTAAAAAAAAAAATAAATCTACCTTAAAAGCAAAGTTTCGTTAAAATTATTACATTTCAAATATTTGTTATTACTTAAAACTGTATTAAAATGTGACATTACTCATACATGACCCGCTTTTTTTAGTTTCGATATATCGATCGATATATCGTAACGTTTCAACGTTTCTTTTGAAAATATGGCGACTTATTGTATTTTAATATGAATAAAAACAAATTGAACTTTTAAAATATGTTTATTTCAAACGATTATTTAAAATTAACGAAATGAAAATATAAATTTCGATTTTGGGTAATTTTAAAAACGTAAATTTTTGCCGCCATAATTACTTGTACGACCATAATTTGTTCTATGTAAATATTAGAAAAAATTTTTCATTACGTCACACAACTCATTTATTTGCGAAATATTATTATTTAAAGTTGTAAAAAATAATGTAAATAAAAAAAAAATTTTTTAATTACATCGAAGGTTATGCTAAATTAAAATTTTTTTAATTATTATTACAAACGCATACAAACAAACAAACAACACATTTTTCGTAAAAATTCATTCAAATTTTTTTTTTTTTTTTTTTTGGGGGATTTTCATAACAGAGATACGTCGGCCATTTTTTTTCTTCAATTAACTTTCCTATAAATTAAGTTAATTGATTGAAAAAAAATTGTATTAAAATTTGAATAAATTAATAAATAACTTGAACTTAAAATAAATAAATAAAATGTTCAAGTAACAACAAGTCAATGAATTAATGAATTAGTTTTTTTTTTTAGAGAAAGTGAAAGCAACCTGTATGTCCTTGAATGTAACCGTCGTACCTTCAAGAGTTCTAGATATTATTTCAAAGAGACCATTTAATCATTATTATTATTATTATTATTATTATTATTATTTTCATTTTTAAACTTATAGTATAAAAGAGAATGTAAAAAAAAAAAATATTATTATTATTATTAATTGCGAGTTGTTTTTACTCGAAAGTTTTTTTTAAATAAAAATTTTTATACGAAATAAAAAAAAAAAAAAAAAATGATTTCACGGCATCGTAGTATAGTGAAAGCTATAAACGAAATAAAAAAATTTTTTTTAAATCAAAATAAAATTCAATTATTATTTATTTATAAAATTATAAACGAAAGCAATGAGACCGAATAATAATAATAATAATTATTATTATTATTATTATTACTACATTAGTATGTGAATCGACGATTTCCCCCCCCCCAACCCCCTACCCCCATCCCGTAATATGTTAGCCTAATCGTTTTTTTTTTTTCTTTACTTTCTAACATAATTTAAAACAAAGAAAAATTAATTAATTGATTGTACCACCCACGATCGCCATGTTTGATAATTAACAATAATAATAATAATAATAATGATAAGAAAATTTTGTTTTTTTTCTATTACAATTGAAATTAACGGTTCGATAGAAAATCAATAATTTTTTTTTTTTTTTATTGGAGAAAAATAATTTTCAACGCCTTTGTAACATTTAATAACATCTTACGACAATTAATAATAATAATAATAATAATAATGATAATGATAATGATAATGATAATTTTTCAATAGTTTTTATATTCTCCTACTAAAAAACAATTGAAATTAGGCAAGTCATGGAAAATTTAAAAATCCGTCACGAATTAAATTTTTTTTTTTTTTTTTTTCGACTGTTATTTAATATTGTGTCACTTAAAATTTAATCTTCATTCATTATTTTCTATATTAATAATAATAATAATAATAATAATAATAATAATAATAATAATAATAATAATAATAATAATAATAATAACATGGAATAATGTCCGAGTAGAAAAAAAATTATTATTAATAATGATAATGTTGTTACGAGAAATTTTTTTTTTCACACACGCGCGTAACATTATATGGGAGGGAAAAAAAATTTATTAATTTAGAAAGGTAAAATAATAATAATAATGATGATGATGATGATGATAATAATAATAATAATTTCTAACGAATGCCGACGCACACCCGTTATTTTATTTTTCGAGAGCCGAAATTTTATTTTTTAAAAAAGATTTTGATTTCATTATAATATTCAATAGTCGTCGTCTTCCTGAATAATTAAATATTTAAATAAAAACAAACAAACAAACAAACGAACGAACAAACGAGCAAACAATTTAAATTTATGATTATATATTTCGTAAGTGAAAATTTTTAACCGTTTTAAATATTTTATTAGTGACAAAATATGAATAAATTAATGGCGGTGGCAAACTGATTTTTTTTTTTTTCAATAATTATAGAGTCAATAATTGATAAATAATAATAATAATAATAATAATGAAACTACATTATGTTTATGTTTTTATCACAACAACAACAACCTAACAAACAAACAAAGTTTTTGTTTTCTTTCAATTAATTAATTAAAAATTTTAATAAATAAATTTTTACGTAATTATTTTATTGTTTCTTTTTTTTTTTTAAATAATTTTATTGATAAAATTATTTGATAATAGAGCAAATAAATAAATTGATGATGATAATAATAATAATAACTAGAAAACAAAACAATTTGAATTAAATTGAAAAAAAAAATAATAATAATAATATTAACGATGGTGAGTTTACATAATTTTTTTTTTGGAAATAATTCAATAAAAGAAAAAAACCTTCAAATGATAACAGTTATTATTATTATTATTACTTTTAGGTCTTTAGGTTGTTATTATTATTATTATTATTATTATTTAACAATAAAAAGAAAGAGAAAGGTAAAAAGTTTTAAACAGGAAATAACGTTGTCAATATTTTTTATTTGTTAATTTATTAACAGAAAAAAAAGAAAAGAAAAATTAACAAATGAATTCATTGCCTCATAACAA